ACGTGGTCGGTGCTCGAGGATCGCGGTGAGTGGTTCAGTGGAAGCAGCCACAGGGTAAGAGTGCCGACGGCATTGGACGGCGCGTCGTTACCGTTAACGACGGCCACCGATTGTCCCAACGACGTCGGGCGGCACCACCTTCGCATCTCCGCTCCTCACTCACCTCCACCCTTCAACCTCCTTTACTTCCATGCTCTCTTCTTCCTTTTCTTTTCCTTCTGCGTTACGTCCTCTTCCTCCTTCTTACGTCTCTTCTTCTTCTGCGAACGACGCCCGGCGTCGGCCTTATTGCTGCGATAAATATAAAGCCTACTCGACGAAAATGTCTCTCGCTCGCCACGGATTCTCCCATTACGAACGTGCTCGGAGTGACGGTACTTCAGAGTCACCAGGTATAACCTACGGTTATTGGACGATTTCGATTCCTGTCGATGATTTCGCTCCGGGCTTTAATTCGGGAACGGCCGCCATTTTAGGTTGAGGGTTGGAACATTTGTTCTTACTGTGAAAGGTTTGTGTATTTAAGGGATTTTCGAATTGGATAGTTTTATAGTGGCTTACCTATTGTCAAATGTATTATGGGGTAGTTATGGGTCCGTGTTTAGTTCCGTTTGATTTTTTATGGATTGTAACCCTGCGTTACTCTTGATCTCGGTGGTGATTTTTAAATTGTGTCTTTTGGCTGGTTCCAGGGGTAGTTTCTTGGGTCTTGTACATTTTCATCCACGTCCCCTAGTACGTCCTCCGGAGACATTAGAAATATTAGGTGTGCTAAAAAGCTGCGTTTATACCCACGCAGGGGGTGGTTACGTTAAAATAAGGGTGCTCCGAGTACGAGGGTTGGAGCTTTCGACCCTCTACAGTGACAGCGGGACTTGACAGCACGCCAGCTGTCACTCGCCGCTTACGCCATTAATGAATAGGCGATGCCCACTGGCGCCCCATACGCTCGATTAGTGAGATTAAAGAGTGCGTAGTGTGAAAATCAATAGTATGAATAGTCAGGAGAGATACGCATCAGAAATCGAACGAAACAAAAGCTTTGAAGAGTACCCGTGGATACAAATAAAAAAGCACCCAACAAACGAGAGTAAAAATTCAAAAATTCTTAATTATTCATTACCGTCCCAAAATTCGCAAAATGACTCAAATAGTTGGACTAGATACAAATTACTAGTAAAAATTACTATATCCAGCCATCCTCTACTTAACCTCAAAAAATATATCTAGTTGATTTAGAAAGATCGTCAGTGACGAATCTGACGTTAATACCGTTTTTCGAAAATTTTTTCCTCTATGAGAATTTCCAGGCCACCCAGTATATTAGCGAGGCAGTCAACGCAGCTCGCGAACACAGCCAGGGCGGCTGGCTTCCGTCCCGTTGGCCCCAGGGCTCTTCCCCAGCCCACCAGAGTTTCCGCTTCCATCCCGCCTAGCCGGCACTCCACACGCCGCGTTTAAGTATCCCGATATTCCAGCAGGCAGTAGAAATACTGACCGAGTCAGAGTACAGCAAGAATCCATAAGACAAAGGAGAATCTAGATAAAGAATAAAAATACCTAATGCACATAAAGGTGTTACGATCGTTAATCAATTATACTGAAAAGTTTTCAAACTAACCTAACCTCAAGGGAATTCGTCTCACACGTCCGCTCTCGACGAAGTCAGAAGTTTTTCAACCGCCGGCGAGGACGGTCGGGCTCGGTCGGCGCGTAATAAGCAAGCGAGTCCCTGCTGTAGGTGGCACGAGACCCATAGAAGAGTGCCTATTCTCTCTTTCCCCCCCCCCCTCTCTCTCTCTCTCTCTCTCTCTCTCTCTCTCTCTCTTTATCAGTAAAAAAACAAAGATCGTAGCCATGGAGTATAAGGGGAGCTAAAAGAGACGGTACAGAACGGTCACGTTGCCAACTGGGAATTGCTAACCTGAAAAATCGACGATCCGTAACGAGAGCTTGGGTGAATCCTTGAATGCTGAATTAGGTACTGAATGGATCTATCTATCTATCTATCTATCTATCTATCTATCTATCTATCTATCTATCTATCTATCTATCTATCTATCTATCTATCTATCTATCTATCTATCTATCTATCTATCTATCTATCTATCTATCTATCTATCTATCTATCTATCTATCTATCTATCTATCTATCTATCTATCTATCTATCTATCTATCTATCTATCTATCTATCTATCTCTATCTCTATCTCTTCTATCGCTGCTCTGACTGATCCTTCTAAGCCGAAAAGAGGCTACCTTGCATAGTAATGGCCCGTCGCGTCGCGACGCGTCATACGGCGCGAGCGAATGGCCTAATCTCTTAGCAAACACTTCAGGACGTAACGAGCGACGCTCTCGGTGGTTCTGACAGCCGCAGATGGCACTTGCCGCCTTGTTTGTCATAAAATCTCCCCTATTCAACTACCACCTTCACTCCTCCACTCTGTACTTCACTAGTTGGTTCTGCTCCTGCTGTTGCTGCCGCGAAGCCACCCTACATACTGCTCTGACACCACAGACGACTTTTTTGCTTGTGCCTACCAAGCCTTGCTCTCTTCTGTTCTTTCTTTCTCTCGCTTGTGTTCTAAGGTATGCTCTTGTCTCACTTTCCCTCGCTACGACTGATCTCTGACTGTCGTCGCACTGTCGCGCTGGTCACCGGCGAAAAATATTGGACGACTTAAACGGACTAAAAGTCCGCGATACGCATTACGGCATATGTATACAGTATTGATTTTTTAAACAAAAACAAAGTTTCGGTGATTATACATATATACCTGCGCATATTTAGATTGTGCAATATGAAATACATGACAGGTGGGATGCAACTACATTTTTACAGTTGCAATTATCTTTTCTCCCTATTTTCTCGTCGAAATTATTGGCAACACTGCCTAGACTCTTTAATCATTTTGACTAAATAAGGGAGTTAGGAGGTTATAGTTTTCATCGAAATCTGGTAGATTCAGGTGTTCCAGAATTTTAGTACTAAGTTCAGAGGTTATAATTTAAAGTGACGTTTTTAAAATTGTAATTAATGCATTACCGTGTCAATCTTAAATATATTCAGATTTCACATAAATTAAAATCATATAAAATACGATACTAGATTTATTCACGAATATCAGTCTGGTTTGATTAATTTTTTAAACAATATCAATACGTCTGCAAGGTTTCCAGTGCGATATATCACGTCACAAGGATTATACCAAACATATGTATACTATATCTATATATATATGCATACGCAACAGACACGTGCGTGAACGTGCGTCGGCTAAGATCAAAAGGCGAAATAGCCCCAGTGGATATAATCTGGGTAAGTGTGGACTTTTTGCTTGATAAATAATAATAACAATCATATAAAAAAGATTATCCTAGTGACCTAAGCAGGATACGGCCCTAGGGCTACTGCACGCTGAGATTAAAAATTTATGATCATTTCCTTTTCTGACTATCAATCTGATTTATCATTATTTTATACCGCGCTAATTATTGAGAAAAAGTGCGGAGGCCCGCACTCCCTCCCATTATCGAAGACGTGGGTAATTTAATTGCAGACTCTAATAATATGTGCCTGATCGCAGACAAACGTAACGACTACGTCGCTGCACGCACGTGGGTTCACACGCTTGGACATATAACGGGTGTATGGCAAGAAACAAAATTTTCTATACAAAAACGGTCACCCATGAAAAATAACGATGACTAATCGATTTAACGCACCATACAATGTATATGGTGAATTTTTGAATTATTTTATCCAAAGAACGAACCTTACGGATAACTTAAAAATACCAAAAATTGTTTTTATATTTTTCAAAATTTTTAAAATAAACGCTTCTTCGTTGAAATATAACTGACACCCTTAGTATATAAGCTCTTATCTTATCAGTTTTCAACGTTTCCTTTTTACGTCGCGACGTTCCAAGGCCTGCGGTTATGGCTATGGCCGCGATGGCCCAGAAAATAGGCTCATCCGAATGCGCAATGATAGCCTTCCAGTGGTAGAGATTTTTGTAAATTCCTATAGACGTTTCTGTGCCCGATCCCTGGCGAACCAAGCCTAAGGATACCTCCTGCGTGTTTCAAGGTAGCATCGACTGGAGGTTGAAGTTAGGAAGATAAAAGAAACGCAGGACATCTTCAGGGTAGAAAGATCTGAAAGACAATGAAACACGCAAAGAGACTCGTATATCTATATATCGAGAGATAGAGAGTATCTAGATAATATTGTATCTATACTATCTCTCTACGTTACACAATCTCATCCGTAACTGCAAGTTCTGGTTACGATTGCCTTGAGACCAAGAATATCTCTTGCATAACGATCAGCCCTGAGGCAGAAGGGCTTCTTTCATCCTACAGTCAGTTTCATCCTGTAGACACCCACGTACATCCCGCACTCCGGTGAAACGTAACCAAAGGGCAACTTATAGCCAACTCCAAGTTGGATTTCTCTATCTCCAAGTATATCCCAACCCTTGGGTTAGGGGTGTGGATGGGTCGATTATATTAATTCCTTCACAGTAGGAAACAGATATGAAACACTCTGTAGATGAGATCTCTTTAATCAGCAATTGGTCCAAGATGGGATCCTGATTAAAAATATGAGGAATCTTAGTAAATATACCGGGTGTCCAATTTCGTTCGATTTAATGACAAAATAATTCAAGCAATGTCAGTGTTAATAAATTTGATTTTTTTTACATTATTTTTTCCCCTCATTCTTCGTTCCATCTTCATCTCTCTTATCCTTCACTCCAGTTCGCAATGCTGG